AACGGACTTCCGCGAAGGCTCGCAGAATCTGCATCGGCTCGGAAAAGCACTGTATGCGTGCCTGGTTGCGCAGCGCTGGTGCTGGAATCCCTTCTATGATGTTCTCTAGCAGCTCCTCCAAATCGATGTTGATGTCGTTAGCTAGCATGACCTTGTCCTCGAAATAAGCGGCGAACTTCTCTTCTGGAAGCCATTGACGTCTTTGGAATGCGCTCCTCAGCTCTCCTTTGGACATTTTAACGCCGAACGTCAAAATAAGTTGTTCGCAGAGTTGATCGGCCGGCTCCAGAATGCGCGTGGCGTTTGCGTGCAGCCAGCGTTGCGCGTTTCCTTTCAGTTTGGCAATCAGAAGCATATGCATGCAGCCATCGTCTAAATTATACACCTTGCCAATGTTCTGAAGCTGTGTGACCCAATTGCGCGCACACACGCTGCCGTTGTATTCCATTGTAACTTCTTTTGCCAAAGCAAGCGATGCTGCCGGAGATTCCAGTAGTTTGTTTACATTTGTGTTCATGCGTTGATCAACACTTCCATCGATCTGTTTTCCAACACTGGTATTGTCCGGACCAATGTTATCGGCGGTGATGGCCACTTTGGTGCTGTTAATCTTAACAGCGTCGCTGTTGGCGCCAATGTTATCACTTCTAGAATTTTCCATGGCATTTTCGATGACGTCATGGATTTGGTGAACATGAACGGTTTTGTTCTTGTTTGCGCCGTCGATCTCCGTGTGAATCCTCTGCAATACGGCCATGCTCGCGTCTATTTCATCACGAATCTTCTGTAGGGTGGCTTTTTCGGCATCCACGAGCGATAGTTGTTCAAACTCGAAATTCTCCGAGGCTTGCGACGCCATTAATTGCGCGTCGCCTGAGACCTCTTGCAAGTCTCCACCCTGCTGCTCCTGCAGTACCAGCAAAGATGCAGCTCCATCCGTCTCGACTACTGGTTTTGCTGTTGGTTGGTTGAATGGTGGCTGATCGTCCTGGCTGCTCGATGTTTTGGCTGGCGGGTCGCCCCGTGTCTCCGGAGAAATAGCTTGCAGACGCGCTATTAACTCCGCTTTAGTGCCGGAAGTCGGGCGTCCGAGGGCTCCCAACCAGTTTTTAAGTTGGAGCACCGAGAACTGCTTTAATTCCATGTCAGGCATAGTGAGTTATGACCACTTCTGATGTTGTAAACGCCAAAATGAATCCGGTATAATGCGATCTTTATTATTTTAACACACTTTCGACTTCTTCCAATTAACGCACGCCACCGAATGAGGCGGCGTCGCTTCTTTTCCTCTACTTATACCTTCCGATGCGTAAGCGAGATAGGTATACATACGTATTTATCCCTTAATGCAAATGTATGAGATAGACAGAGATGACAGTGTTATACTTAATTCTAACGGGGCTTTTATCTTGTATGCCTCTTCAATACAATGGGCTTTATCCTGATTCTATGCTAATACAATGTACAGTGGGCCTTATGTGTATCTAGCCTACCACACGTTGAATGGCAAAACTCAAGTGCAACTGCAACATATCAAATTATTGCCAAATGGAACAAAAAGGAGCAAAAGAGCTTTATGTTATTGTATTCAGATAATATTAGTTGTTAAGTTTCAGCTTTCACCTTGCGTTAACCCTCGTCAACTTGTAAGTTTCATTCCACGAAACACACAACTACATTTTTAGTTGGGACATAAAAATACAGCAACAACACACTGAAATATTGGACAATACAACACATATAACAAAAATATCGAGCTTATAACTTTTTTGACATACCATGACTATTAGATTCCATATTATACAGTTTTAATTTAATTGACAATTGTTAAGTTATTAAACTGCAAAGATAAACAACTTTTTCGCGATTTTTCTTTAAGGTGTGACCAGATCTCTATCTTTCGACTTCGTTAAAAAAAAGTACTAAAAGAATTATAAGTTAACAAAATAATAATAATAATAAGAGAATTTTCATATATATAAAAAAAAATGTTGTCCGAGCAAATTTTAAGCCTGCTGAAAGGCAGTCAGAGATTAATAAGGCTGTTGGGAAATCCTAAATGGAGACGTAAAATTTTCAAGTCAGGTACTAAAGTATGTAAATGAGTTGGAGAGAGAAGCTCAATCCACTCACAAAATGCTAGTTAGATAAGGCCCTATAGACCACAAGTATTTTAGTAAGAAGAGGTATGACCAAATTTTTGATGCGTTTCGACAAATTCGAGAGAAGATCGCAGAGTCAGGTAGTAAAGGTAGTCAAGAAGATCACAATCCGTTATTAGAGCAGCAAATTAAAAAACTAAGGGATTACCTTGAGGAAACATAGGGAGATACAGAGCCAGAAACGCGAAACCTTGCGTATAAGGAAAAATAAGATCCATTTCCTCTGGCAAAATATTTCCGACCGCAAAAATATAGTAGGAGCATGTAGCTTAAACTTGGAGTCAGCGCTGAGTGAGCTAGAATTTTATGTTCAAAATACCTCATTGGAGATAAATGAACAATTAAAGGAGAGGGTCGGAGAAAAATATTCTCTGAACAACTGAATCACCTAATGGATTTATCAATTTTGAATATTGATTCCGTTAGGCAAATTAAATTCTTTATCGACACAATGATTGAAGCGATACACATTTTGAAACTAAAGGCTAATCTGTCCAATGAAGTTGATGTGTTATTTGCTCACATTGTGCTCAGGAAATTTAATACACAGACTCTTCAGTTATATGAGAGTCATATTAAAAAAAAACCAAAGACATCCAGCAATTAGCGGATGTAAGGGAATTTTTAGAGCAGCGGCTGAGTTCCACTAGCTCGGTACAGGAAGAAGAACCTGTGAAAAGTTTTTGCCAAAAATGTTTGTTTCGAAAAGAAACGAATTTTCAAATACAAACGAAGTGAAGTGCTACATCTGCATCTGCAAATGATGGGACATATTGTAACGCAGTGCCACAAATTTAAGGGTATGAATCCCACAGAACGACTAGAAGTCGTAAGAAAAATACAATTATGTACAAGGTGCCTGAAGCATCCTGACAGCAGAAGATGTACCAGCGAAAATTTATGTTCGCTGTGTAATAGAAGGCATCATTCAATGCTGCATATTGCATATTCCCAAAATAGGGAAACTGTCAACACCTGCGTGACTTCAACTCAGGCGTTGCTTGCGACCGCAAGAATTAAAATAAAATAGACAAATGGCGATTTTATAAAATTAAGAGCTCTAATAGATAGTGGATCCCAAAGCACTATCATATCAGAGGAGGCAGCTCAAATTTTAAAGCTGCCACGGATTAAATCTAAAACAGAAATTAGAGGGATTTCGTTTTCGGATACATGTGTGTCAAAACATAAAATTAAATTAATTATCGAAGACCCTACATCAAAAAAGGAAATAATAACCGAGGCAAGAATATTGCCAAAATTAATGAAAGCCCTACCTATAAATAAGGTAGATATAGATAAATCAAAATGGCAAAACTTTACATTAGCTGACCCGGACTTTAATAAGCCAGGTCGAGCTGATGTAATTATTGGAGCGGATTTATATTCGCATATCATGAAGACAGGTTTGGCAAAAATTGATGGATTATTAGGTCAGAATACAAAGTTTGGGTGGATTGTCTCTGGGAGAACTAAGTCCACTAAATCAATAGGGAAAAATAATTTTATAAAAACCAGTATTTGTAGATCTATTGAAAAGATTCCCGTTGAAGATGACAAGATATTAGGAGAATCAAAGCCACAAGCAATGGCACAAGCTAGAAAATTTGAGCAAAAATTCAAAAAGAGAGGTAAATGGAAAAGGGATATGCCTCATATAGAAAAGTGTTAAGTGTGCACCACATATCGGGTCATACCTCTTTATGCCTATGAATTTAAAATTGTATTGTATTTTTTTGAGAACCTGATAATTCTACACCTGACTGGCCCATGGCAGAATGTTCACACATAGGTCCTTCGGCCGCTCTGCAACTTCCCCCCCTGTGGTAAGAGGTTCAGAGTTTTTTAAACCAGCGCCTTAAAAAATATATTAAGGCTGCTAAAAATAAATAACTCTTGTGTCCCCCCACCCGTGGTAAGGAACGGAGAATAAAAATATAAACATAAAGATACACAAGAATCTTTTGTGTTTTAATAAAAAAGCACCTTGTAGTTAGAAGAAACTAAAGGTAGCTTAAAAATTTTAAAAACGAAAAATTCGTAAGGCGTGCTTCAGGCCCTAAACATCAGCATTAAGTGTGTGAAAAAAAAATATTTTAACGCGAGGGGTATTAAGTGCCAATTAAATAAAAAAGTGAAAAGAACAAGGCAAGGAGCCTGTGAAAAATAATAAAGTAAATCGAACAAAAAAGAGTTCGAAAAGTTAAAAAAAAAGTCCGACTGGACAAACAATTTTTAAAAAAAATTGTTTGAATAACAAGGCAAGGAGTCTGTTGAAGTGAACCAAAAAAAGAGTTCAACAAAAAGTGAAAAATAAATATATATATATATATATAAATCATCTCTAAAGCCGACACCTATACCAGCGGAAGGTAGCAGAAGGAAGGAAGGCTGCACGGCAGCAACTACAAAGAAGTCTGCAACAACAATTACGGCGGCAGCGAAAACAGCAGCAGCATCGTCATCGGAAATCCAGATAAGCTTACAAAAAATACCTACCTATATAAATATATTATACAAAAATACATAATACCTAAGTTTAAAATATATATATAAAAAAAGTAATGTCAGACAAAACTTTAGAGTTGCTAAAGGCGCAGTCCGGAATCATTTTGGAAATTAGGCAGGTAGAAGCTATAGTAGGGTTAACCAAACCAGACATAGTAAGGTTAGAAGTAGGGATGTCGGAAATATATCAAAATATCAAAATATCGATATTTTTTCTCTTAAAAAAAATATTATCATCGCGATATTTTTTGGGCAAAAATAGGCGATAATGATATTTTTTTGAGATGATATTTCCGATATTTTTATATTTGGTCACTCTTAAGCCAGAAGTGAAAAAAGACGCGAGTGATTATTATGAGTGCGGCAAAGGATTTTTATTCCGAATTTAATGGAATATCTGCAAAATGCACATTGTGCTTAAAGACAATTAAAAGTAGTGGGAACTCATCGAACTTACTTTCCCATTTAAAAAACAAGCACCAGGATGCCTTTTTAAAATGCTCAAAAGTAAGTGCAATATTCTGTGATGTACATACATATGGGCATTTCCATAATGTCGCACGCGACATTCGTACGCATTCAAATAAAAAAAAAAAGGATGGTACATTTCATTTTTTTTTTTTTTTTTTTAATGTTAACTTATAGCTCTTGCCTAGGACTATAATTGGTGCACATGTTGATTTTGAGTGTTTGCTCAATTTTAAGAAAATTTAAAAAAACTGAAGGATTCGCACGCGACAAAAATAGAAGTTACTTTCGCGGCGAGCTGTTTAAGCACTGATTTTAGCGAAACGGCAGGGACTATTTTAATGAAACAAATTTTAAGATGTGACGCAGTAATGCCAGTTTCATATGCTTTAATTTACAATCAGAAATATAGCGTAGTTTATTTTTTATTTAATTTTAATCAGATTCGCACGCGACATGTCGCACGCGACAGTTGGTTTCATAATTTTTTTTACACTTCCTTTTCATTTTATATTTAATAAGAATGCATAACATGATGTATAACAGATTTTATTGAATCATGTATATTTATTTTTATAACCAAAAATTTGTTAACATAATATTATAAATCCCAAAAAGTCAAGAAAAACAAGTAAATCTATCTTACAAATGTATAAGCAATGAACACTAAATTACATTACTCTAGAATATGATTATAAATTTCAAAAACTTTTAATTTACAACAATATGCAGTCCTAGCTGCTTCGACCTTTAGGCCATCACAACGAAATGAGTGAAATTGTGAAATGCCTGGAATGCTTCTCACATTCTCCCATTTCTCCTGTAACTTGTACTGATTAATTAAAGTTGTGATTTCAGCCGACGACATAAAAAGAATCTTTACTCCATTTATATTGCTTTCAGCACAATTGAAGAATTCCAGTGCATTGGTTATAACGAGGTTTCTTGATTTCGTTAGCTGCCAAACTTTTCTTTTGATCACGGCTCCAACTCCATCCACGGCTCCCTTTCCATGAGAACTGGCAAAGAAATTCCACTCAATGTTTTCGCACCCAATTTGTTGACCAATATCAGTCAAGCTAGTTAAAATATATTTATTTTTAAATTGTGCGCAGCAGCCATCAGAAAAGATAGAAATATTTGAAAATTTCCCATACATTTTGGTCATTTCCGTTAGCATACTTAAAACAAACACAAAAACGTCCTCTTTATTATGTGTAAGTTTGTCGCTTATAACCGCAAAAGACTGTGAAGCACCAGCCAACCAAGCAACACAGGTAAAAATGGTTACTTGCCGATAACTAAAATGAGCACTTTGAACTTCATTTTGGTGTGTTAACCTATAATTTTCTGCAAAGTCTATTTGCAGAATTAATTCAGAAGGCTTCAAATTCTTTTTTGATTCAGCAAAATATTTCTGCTGATCTCGTTTCACAAAAAAATGAGTCTTAAATGATGGCATCTTTCCTTCTAAGGTATTGATTAACTCTGCTGCAGTAGAAGATGTAGTTGAAAGCATTACATGGTTATCAATTTTTCGCCATTGTTGCCAATTCGCCTCATTTTCCATATTGGGTAAATATGCCACAGGTATATAATCATCTTTTAAATTTTTTATGCATTCTTTACAATTATTTGTCATGCAATTTTCATTTAGAATATTGCAGCAAATAGATTTAAGGAAAGTTTCAATATTTTGTGGGAATGATGGTATAACTTTTGTGCAGCTTTCCAAAAGAAACCCAACATTTGCATGATGCATGCAAACACACATGTTGTGCGGCAATTTATTAGTGAGCTGCACATGACGAGGTCGCATTTAAAAAAAAATGGATTTGCTCACTTTTTCATTTGGAAACTCCTTTTCAAATAAGCTATATGTTTCCGTTACGGTGAATAACATAAAACGTTTAGCTTTTACTTGACCGTCAATTATCAGCGTATCTTTCTTTCCAGCAGCTTGTACGCTAATATTTTCATTTTCATAAAACTGTCTTATAACATTGTCTTGTTTTTCGGAGAAAGGTGTCTCGTTCATGTCTATGTTTTGAGATATATCAGTTTGATTATATTTATTATACAAACCTTCAAGCACCTTGAGCCTCCTGTCCATATCCTGTGGCAACACAGCTTCCACTTTCTTTATAGCCTTTGCTAATGTTTGCTTACATGTGTATGGCTCATTTTGGCTTTGACGAGTTCTTTCCTCGTCAAACCGTTTTTGGCGCAACTCTCTTTGCCTTATGCGGTTATATTTCCGTCTCTCTTCAATAATTTTTTCATTACCTTCAGCCTGAGTTCTCAATATTCTTCTCAAATTTCGCATCCTTTCGTTATTTTTTAATTTATGGTCTCGCAATTTGTCCTCATCAGCCTTTACTTTTTCTCTCCACCGTTTGCAGTTTAATTTATTTCTTTCTCCGATTTTTTCTCCCATCTACATTAAAAAAATTTTTTTTTTGTGTTTACGTTAATATAAAAAGAAAAATTTATTAGAAAAACATTTTTGTTGAATTTACATTGTTACACTTACGATGTCGCACGCTACACACTTTAATTGACGTCCAAAAGAAAACCAATTAAATTTGTTGATCAAAGTTAACTTTTCTTGAATTGTGCACAAAAAAATGGATTTGGGTGCTTGATTAGAAGTGCATTGACCAAAAGACTTTCTCGCACTGATAACAAATCATACTTTTCGATGTCGCACGCGACATCTAAAGACAGGTGAAGCAAAAACAAAAATTAACCGTATTTTTCAACTGCATAGCCCCTTTTGCATTTTTCTTTTATTCCTGATATATAGGTCGAGCTTTTAAAGATCCAAAGTTCATCAAAAACATCTCTCATTAGGAACATAAATCAAAACAAAATGTGCAATAGAAATGATCAAAGTGGAACTTTTGCACTTGTTCGACTTTGAACTTCAATATTTCTGTATCCGCTATGAATAAATGCAAAATTGACTTAAATTAGTTAAATATGATAGATTCACTGTAAAAATAAGTTGGAACAACATGCATATATCGACTTTGATTTTGGGACGTGCGGTTGACCTTTCCGTGGAAATGCCCATATGTACATAAATTTTTGTGTGTGAGCGTTATTTCCCGCGAAATTTACCGGTGTTCGTCGTTTTACTCATGTATGTATGTATGTATGCAAGTTTGTGTTTTCTAGAAATTTTAAAATCAAAACGCGCAGCCATATACACATACATATATGTATGACTTTATGCCTGCCTTGCATACATACATACATGTGTAAAAAAAACGTAAACCGGTAAATTTCGCGGGAAATAACGCACACACACAAAAATTTATGTACATACTAGCTTATATGTGACAACTTAATTTTTGTTATTACGAAATAAATTAAAAATGTTGTATATTTCAGAAAACCACCAAAGGTGAAGGTGACGAACAAGACCAACCGAGCATTCAAGGAGCATTTTTGGGTGCAGCAAATAAAAACTGTGAGGAAAATATATTAAATATTTTAATATTTTAAAATAATATGTTGCCAAATTTTCAGCAAAAGACCGAAAAATTACGGAATCTTTGATCAAAATGATATGCAAAGACAATATGCCCGTCAGATGCGTTGAAAAAGAGGGGATGCAGAACTTTGTTAAAACGTGCGTTCCCAATTACAAATTACCAAGTCGATGGAAGGTATGTGCTCTTTTTTTATTTCTGTGTTTATGTTTATATATTCGTTGTCTTGTGCGGCTAGAATTGTCAAGTCAGTACTATTAATTATTTATGTATTTAAAATTGCAACTTAAAGTATGTATGTATATAAAGACATGACCAAGACAAAGAGTAGTTTGTGTTGAAATAGATGAGATCAAGATCTCGCTACCTGAATGCTTCAATATATATAGATATAAGTTATTTAAATTTTAAATTTGTTTTTAGGTTACAAATTTGATATCCGAAAAGTACACAGATTGTGTAGAGAGGGTAAAAAGGGGTTTTAAAGATGTCGAAAACTTTGCTTTACATGTGATGCTGTAACCATCACGAATTCAACTAGATCTTTTCTAACAATAACTGTGCATTTTTTATATGAAAATCAGCTTCAGTCTGTTTGTCTGCAGGCTGCTAGGATGAGCCAGGTTCGATCTATTGTGTATTTGATTAATGAAAATTAACATTTTACGTTTGTTTTTTATTAACTTAATATCCAACCTTTAAATAACTAATGCTTGAATAACCCTTAAATTGCTCGTATTTGATTTGATTTGATTTTATTTGCCTTCCTAACGCTACAAGTTTAAAACTTATAAATTAGAGCGCTAGTCACAAAGGGTTGCAATAAATTCTGTCATAAAGCTTAAATCTAAACAAAATTTGTGCATATGATATTCTTAATCTAACAATTTAAAGTTTATTATTATTATTATTATTTAGTATATTTTGTAGTTAATTTAACTTAATCCTAATCCTATTCCTAAGTCGCTGTAATTTAATTTAATTTATGGGACTTATTTAAACTGTGAGAGTACCTTTTCCTTGAATTGCGTAGCATTGCTAATATTTTTAATGTTGTATTGTGATTTGTAATTGTATTTATGTGTGTGATTTGTGTCTTTTGGCGGTCCACATATGCATAATAATAATAATATTTTATAATTTTTTCTTCTTATAATTTCCCATTTAGTCTCATACAAGCGAATATATTACTACACTGTTGGATGGGTTGGGTGCATTAAGCATACATGAAAGCTTTTTGGATCTGCACAACAAGACTATAGAGCTCCGAGACTCTGTAGTAAAAAGTTCAGAGAGAAAGGAAATGCAGCTTTTTTTTAACATGCCATTTTGTACTTGGGAGACAAACCCTATAGAATTTTGGATCTCACAAACGTCAGCTATGCCCATGCTAGCGAAGGTGGCATTAAGTTGCCTGATCACGCCTGGTAGTTCGGTATCATCGGAACGGTTTGCTTCTGCCATAAAATGCGTTGTGTGTGACTCCCGTAGTCGTATGACAGACCAGCATGTAACAGAAAGAGTTTATCTTAAATCATTAAAAACTGATTTGTTCTAAATAAAACCACTCAATATATGATATATCCATAATGTTGTTATTATTTTTCTATACCAAGGATCGGGTATAATATTTGTATTTTAAGTTCGACGATTTTTATTCACTTTTTAACTTAAAAACATTATATTATGTCCCAAATAGCTCTTATTTGATGTTTTTTATCCAAGTTTCGCTAAAAACTAAAAAATATAAAAAAAAATCAATATATCGATATTTTTTTGTGATATTTTCAAATATCATCGAGTGATATTTTTTTAACAACAAATATCAATACGATATTTTTTTTAAAAAACAACAACAACCCTAGTTAGAAGAGCTTCAGAAACTCTTCATAGCAAATCACACGCTACTATTGAAGATCGGCGTTGTCGATCTTGAATACTTTAACTCAAAACAGTACGACGTGATAATGATGGTCCTGATTCAAATCAAATTAAGATTTGAAAAAGAGTCTTCAAATGATAAGCCAGAGGGACAGATTGTACCCACAGACAAAGTTTCTTCCGGACTTCCAACGCTTCCGAAATAGCACAGACTTTTCGAATTCAGGTAGGCAAGTTAAGAGAATATTTGGATGAGACGACGACTCTCATAGACAGCAGTCAAGATTTGCTGAAAATAAGGAAGAACAAATGGAGTTTTTGTTCAGGAGAGTACAGAATTTAAAAGAACAGGTTAATACTTGTTTCGAAAGTTCGGTATTCGAGGAGGAGATAAGCGATATCGAGTTTGATACGTGTACAATTTCGTCAAGAAGATAATTGCTCGCAGCTGCCACCAGCCATCTATTGATAAGATTGCATCTGGACGCTGCCCATTTACCTAAATAAACTCGGGAAACTCGCGATACCCGGGTCACGCAGGTCCGCGCACACATGTGTGATTACGGGCCATAAACAGAATCCCGCGATCGGTCACGTTCTTCACACCAATTGCATGCAGACGTCGCAGGAATTAGTTATCTAAGTAGTTCCCATGGCTGTGTCCAGCTGTTTATGTTCTTATAGGATAAACCCATGTAACCCAAAAGTAGACCTAAGTAAATACCCTTTGACCCGAAAACATGTATATAAACCCCATGCAGTATCCAATAAAATCAGTACGAAAAGAACTCTTTGCGTATTCACTTCTCTGCAGCCCAATTGGTATCGTACTTATTGCGGCGACCATTGCCACTGGTACTGAACCTGAGGCACGCAATTAAAAACTATTTCAGCATTAGGATTTATCCTGAATCCGCACAATACGCAAAACATTTTAGCTGCGATAAACAATAGACTCAGCAGAGTTAATGCGCATGCTGACGTGTCGATGGTGGTAAAGGCGGAGGAATTACCAACCCTGCCGAAAATTCAGAGTCCCACATTTTTGGGTGATTCCAAATAATGGGATCTGTTTTATGAGCTGTTTACAGAGCTCATCCACACAAGAGAGGATTTAAGGCCCTCTCTAAAATTGAATTATCTCAAGTCGGCATTAAAAGGAGAAGCCAGGAATGTTGTTAGTCATTTATTGCTAGGCGCCGGAGAAAATTACAAAGCCACTTGGGAGTTTTTGACCAAGCGGTATGAGAATAAAAGAAAAATATTCTCAGAGCACATGAATAGGCTTATGGACATGCCAAATTTAAATTTGGATTCAGATAAGCAGATTAAAAATTTTATTGATACTATTAATGAGTCAACATACATTATAAATTAAAGGCACACTTATCCGAAGAGCTCGATGCCGTTTTTACGCACATAATTCTGCGAAAATTTAATAAAGAATATTTGAATTTGTACGAAAGTCATGTCAAAACAAGAAAGGAAGCTAACTTCGGCACACCGAAGTTTGTATACCCTTGCAGATTGGTTTTGATGTTTATATTATAAATTTAAATGCTGAAAACCCTCACATAACAGAGTTTCATTACATTTTACCTATACTTATCTATACGTTTACAGTTTGACAGTTACAGTTTTACATTCCCAGATTTACCTTTTCTCTACATTTACCGATCGTTCATATGGCAGCTATAAGATATAGTCGTCCGATTTTCATAAAATTTTAAACAAAATTCTAAAATAATAAAAGAAGCTTCTATCTAAAAGTAGATAAGAATATGTTGAAAAACAACGAAGTTATAATTTTTTCCTATTCATTTTCCGATCGTTCCTAGGGCAGCTATAAGATATAGTCGTCCGATTTTCATAAAATTTTAAACAAAATTCTGGAATTATACAAAATGGCTATATATCAAAACCTATGCAAAAATATTGAAAAACAGCCAAGTTATAATTTTTTTTCTAAAAATTTATCGAACATATTTATCGAAGACTATATGCAAAGTTTCATTCAGATAGCTTTAAAACTGAGGGACTAGTTTGCGTAGAAACGGACAGACGGACAGACGGACATGGCTAGATCGACTCGGCTGTTGATGCTGATCAAGAATATGTATACTTTATAGGGTCGGAAACGTCTCCTTCACTGCGTTGCAAACTTCTGACTGAAATTATAATACCCTGCTAGGGTATAAAGACAAAAGACATTCAGGCACTTTCCGATGTGATGGAATTTTTAGAACAAAGACTGAATTCTATATCATCATTTTCACAGGGAGATAAACCTGTAAAGAAAGTTGTCATTACAACGCCCTATAATTATAGCGAATTTTTAGTTCAATGTTATAAATTTAATGGAATGAACCCAGCAGAAAGAACTGACTGGGCGAAAAAATGCATTTCAAGGCATAGAGTAAAGTTACAAATCAAAACCCAAAAAAGGGATAACAATAATTTAAAGATTAATGAATGCACTACCAGGTCAAATGATTAACGTTGACACAGCAAAGTGGGATAAATACCGGCTTGCTGATCCCGAATTCAACAAGCCAGGTAGGGTAGACCTAATAATAGGAGCAGATCTATATGCACACATCTTTAAAAATGGAAAGGAGAAAATAGACGGACTCCTAGGTCAAAATACTGCATTTGGATGGATAGTGTCGGGCTGCACAAAATCGAAAGGCGATACCACAATAGTTGCAACCATGATTGAGTGCAAAGATATGGAAAGATTTTGGGAATTAGAAGAAGAAAGTAAAGATGACTTAGAATTTCAGAACTGCAAAGATAAATTTATTAGACGTAGAACTGACGAAATTTTAAAATTAAGGGAGACAGCATGGAATCAGGTACAATCTGAAGATAACCCAGCAGACATTGCCTCCAGAAGCATCTGTGCAACAAAATTAAAAGATTGTTCGCTGTGGTGGAATGGGCCCAAATGGCTCTCAACACCGGAGGACAACTGGCCAAGTTACATATAGAGGAAGAAGTAACAGTAAATACGGTAATAGTAAAATCCGAAGATACCATTTCTAAGTTTCTGGATAGATATTCCAGTTTTCAAAAGTTGGAACGGGTCGTAGCTTAGGTATTGCGGTTTATCGCTATGAAAGTCAAGAAGACTTCATACCCACATTTATTGACAGCGAGGGGATTATTTATAGAGAATATATTAATCATCAGTGCAAAGGTGCCTTTGTTTAGTAGGTATCCGTCTAAGTTATTCAGGCTAATTCCGTTGCCTATTAGGAATGTAAACCAAATGATAATGGTACAACTAACTTCCGAATATTTGATTTATAATTTTGAAATCGATTCGTATCATTTAATGAATGAAGCAACCTTAAATCAATATCAAAATTGGCAACAAGGTAAAAGGATATGCAAAGGAAGTTGGCCCTGGAACTCCGCGAATGACAACGCATGTGAGGTTCAACCGTTAAAACCCAATAGAGCTTCGAATTGCGTATATAAAACAATAGTTGGTTCCACAAGTTACTGGGTAGAATTGGAAAAGAAAAGTAGTTGGCTGTTTAAGGTTCCGCTTAATACCAAAATAAGGGTGCAATGGCTGGCTCTCAAATGGAATTGTGTGAGCTGCCTGAGCAAGGGATCTTCAGTATTGCGTCATATTGTACTGCAAGAACGGATGACAAAATTTTAATAGCCCATCATAATATTCAATCGGAAAGTGAACAGATTCTGTCAACACCATACATAGGAGAGGTTACTGAAGTTCCTAAAATTATGTGGGATCCGTTAAAACTAACCCCATTAAATCATTTTTCCACAAAATAGTGACAACCCATGAGCCTTCTTACTTCTTTAATAAATTAATACCGGCAGCCTCGCAAAGGACTAAAAAATTTATATGCCCTTGAGTCCAAATGCTCAACTCCGAGAGGCAGTTCTTTGTCAACGCTATCCGTCTATGGAACCAATTACCCCATGAACTTAAAACTATTAGGAATGCAACTCAATTTAATTCCAAAGTAAAACTATTTTTAAGAAACAACGCATAACAAACAAATAAACAAACAGCAAACTTCATATTAATACGTAATTAAAGATATAAAAATAAATAAAATAAAAATAAAATAAAGTAAAAATAACTAAAAATAATAATATAAAATAAAATAAATAAATAATTAGTTCATACAATAATTAATGTACTAGGTATAAAGTAAAAATCCTGTCTAATTTTAACTCAGGTGACCAGGGCATTAATAATAATTATTTTATACTTGTAGCACTGGGCTAATTTTGTCAAAATAAATAAAATAAATTGAAATTGATAAATTAAAGAGTTTTAAGAAAACCATCCACAATTGAAGGATTTCCAATTACATCATATTTCCGGACACGCTGGGCTTATATTTTCATTGAGACTTATAGCAGTTTTGATAATATATTTTGTAAAAAAATGTTTGATTAGACAAAGATTAGAAGCCATAACATTCGCCGGCCCGTTGTCAGGAATTTAATGTCAAATAATTAAGTAAAATATATATATATGTTAAAAAATTATAAAAATTTAAAGTCCACTTAAATCGTTGTTTGTACAAATATCAAAAATAAAATATATTGTTAACTAAATGTCAAGCTTGCCGGGCCTTTGGCAGAATGTTCATAAGAACACGATTATTTTTATTATTAAGAAAGACAAAATAAAACGAATGTTAATTTAAGAAATAAGAAAATCTAATGTTTAAAAGGAAATATAAATAAACAAGAAGAGCCAGATTTAAGTTGAAAAATTAAATGAAATAAATAATAAGAGTCCACTAAATCGTTAAAGCAATTACACATAAGCAATAAATTATGTAAGTCTTATGTCAGTTTTGCCGGCCTTTGGCAGAATGTTCAGAAAGAGCACACGAACAAGTATATACATAGATAAGATAAGATGTATATGGTAGGTACTAAATCTTTGCAGCTATCTACTGCATTTCTCTATCTATACGTACATCCGCCACTTGGGCTTGTGTTATACAAGCAACCCGAAAGATGACCTCCTGTGAGTGGTCTGGGTTTGTTTAAGATACCATATGTGCTAACGACTGTGTGCTCCCTTATCGCACTTCAAAATATTTCCCACGATCGGGAACTGTCCGATGCGTGGGACTAAAACTAAGACCAATATACATTCTCATGTTAGCTATATAAGCTAGGATTTGAATAAAATAAAATCAGTTTGAAATATTAACTCGGCAGGACGTGTTCTTATTTGGGCGCTATTCATTTTGGTCAATCGAGCCTTCGAAGCATTTTTACTTCGATTAACTCTGCAGTTTCCCCCTCTATGGTAAGGGACTCAGAGAAAGGCCAGCTCCTTCAAGCAAAGCAAAGTTACACTTGCAGCTAAAGGTAGCAAAATAAGTTACTCTTGTTTCCCCCTCAATGGTAAGGAACAGAGTATAAAATAAAAGCAAAAGGATAAAAAAGAGTCCTTATTGTTTAAAAATTTTTCCAATAAAAAATATTGGTGAAAAAAAAATTTGTGGTCGAGAAAACGGCAAAATAAAAAAAAATTTCGAAAATATTTATTGTGGGCGTTTTTTCGATGCCTAAAATATCGAAAAGTCGCGGTAGTGACAAAAAATTAAAAAAATAAATAAATCTAAAAACCCTATTGTGACAAAAAATAAAAAACCGACTCCTCTAAGTGAAGTGAAGAGCAAAATCAAACATACAGACGCCTCCAAAAGTGCCAAAGAAAAAATTAAAAAACAAAGACACCTCCAAGAAGAAAAAACAACACAAAAATCAACAACAAGCCGAAACCAGACGTATAGAAGGAAGGAAGACCGCAGCGAAAACAACAACATCAACATTAAAGACGACAACGACAGCAGCAGCAACAACAGCAGCAGCAATTACAAATAAATCTGCAACAACAACTACAGCGGCAGTGACGACAGCAGCGACGACCAGCTATCTATAATATATTAATATCTATATATACACAGATACATATAAGTATATACATAGAAGTTTTTAAGAAATTAGACAAAAACTCTTTCTTTAATAAAAAAAATAATAATAATAATAAATAGATATGTATATATATAATTTTCTTGTCCGCGAAAAATCCAAAAGAACAGTAAAAAAATGTTGTCCGCTGAGTCGATAGTGTTCGGCTGGCGGGAACTAGTGTAGAGAGCTTCCGAAGATTAGGCACCAAAAATCAATCCCGCGACGCAGTCAAAGGTTCCGCAGAAAATTAACCACCACAAAAAGAATAGGCCGGGGGCGTCGGGTTAATTTCAATATTATATAGGCGTAGACGTATCGTCTTCTTTATTTGACTTCAGTAGGATAACTAATTTACAAGCGGGAGCGGGAGATCATAAGCGGAGTGCGCGAGCGGCCGTATATACCAGCCATTGCGATACTGCTGATTGGTGGCTATCGACTCCAGTGATACCTCCTCCAGTGGCATTATGTGTTGCTTGTTGTACTTCTTTTTGCCAATCACAATGTTGCCGTAGACAAGAATGTTGTTGAAGAGAAAGAATTGACGGGATTTGGGACGCTTGCGGCACATCTTGGTTAGGACACCCTCGCCGACAAGGACGCGACCCTGTATGGCCAGTGGAACGCCAGAGCTGCCAAAGCAATTTTCCACGGACGCAATGCGTCGGGTATTGGCCTCGGAATTGACAAAACGGTCAACCATGGTTGGTGTGGTAATTGAAATCACGGCGGTCGCGCACGCGCTGATCGCTATGCAAATTAAATATCCTGTGGCGTGTGTGCGGATGCACTGGCTCCTGGCTCTGCTCTTTGTCCTGGTTGTCCCTTTTGGCCTGCCGGCGCCGCTCCACGCACGCCTGCCAGTACTTGACGGTTTGGGGCGTCCGCGGTACGGTGATTGTTGAGAGCACGGATGATTGGCGTAGAGTTATTAAATGTTCGACAAATTTATATAGCAGTCACTTTATTTATTTCATTAGGTTTTACAGAAAAATGCGCAGCTTTAAAAAACTTTGTATTTTATCCCAGGCCGGTGCTTTCTCAAGTGGCCAGATACATTTCCAGGAAAAATACCTTTAATTCTTAGAAACTCAATGGTCACACCTTTTATCGCCCAGCAACAACATTTTTTAAAAATTGTTTTCATAGAAAAAAAATTATTTTTTCACTTTGATACCCTTTAAAAAGGCGTATTTGTGGACGTGGTACTTTATGCAGTACATATATACATTTTACAACAATTACCTGTCCAATGCCGTTTTAATTATTTGATTACCTTATTTGGTTTAAAAGATATGATTTTTGCAAAGCTAAATGAGAAAAGGCGCCACTGTGCGACGTCTAGGATAGCAATCTTGGCCACTGGGCGGACCATGATTCCTTTCGGTGTCCAAATTGTAGCTCGGCGAACTTGGCCATCTTTGGCCGTCACTACTTCAGTGATGCGTCCTTTGGGCCACACGTTCCTTGGAAGTTGACCGTCGACTACTATAACAATGTCGCCGACAGCTATTGGGGGACGTTTGGTGAACCACTTGCTACGTCTGGTCAAGTCTGGGGTGAATTCCTTCACCCAGCGGCTCCAGAACTTGTCCGCGAATAGTTGAGTCTGTTGCCAACGCAGCCTTAGATCGGTGTTGTCATCTGCCATGCGCTTATAGCCGCTCGTCGATCCCAGAAGTAAATGATTTGGGGTGAGCGCTTCATCGTCGCCTGAATCTAAAGAGACAAAGGTTAGTGGTCTAGAATTGATGACATTTTCTGCTTCCATAAGGGCTGTTCGAAGGGTCTCGTCATTAAAGTTATTAGTTGGGCAGATTGATTTCAAAACAGTCTTAACTGATCTGACGAGTCGCTCCCAAGCACCTCCCATATGCGGTGCCGCTGGTGGGTTGAAGTGCCATTTAATCGCTTCATACTTTATAGTGATTTCGTCAAAGTCAATCTTTTTGAGTTCTTCTTTCACCATCTTCTCAGTTGCTTTAAAGTTGGTTCCGTTGTCGGAGAAGATTTCTTTTGGAGTCCCTCGACGTGTCATAAAATTTCGAAGACACATTATACACGAGCTTACATCAAGTTTATAGGCCACTTCTATATGTACGGCTCTCAGTGTCAGGCATGTAAAGAGGACTCCCCATAGTTTTTTCTTGTGTCTGCCGACGTTGACTAGTATGGGACCAAAGTAGTCAACTCCTGTGTATGTAAAGGGTCTCTCGAAGGAGGCTAGTCGGGCGGCTGGTATTGCAGCCATTTGAGGTACTTCGGACCTGGATGTGGCGATTTTGCATTTTTGACAGGCCTTCCGAACTGTTTTATACAGCACTCGTAGACGAGGTATGTAGAAGTCGTTTCTTATGATATTTATTGTCGATTCGTGCATTATGTGATGTGATTTTTCATGGAAATCTTTCGTGAACAAAAATGCAATTCGAGATAGCACCGTCAGGATTTATGTTATATTTTCTTCCCTGAACACGTAGCACGCCTTCCTCATCCAAGTAGACATTCAGAGCAATCAAATGACTTGATTTGTTCACGGCCGTGTTATTTTTGAGAGCAGTGATTTCGGCATAGTATGTCCTTGATTGTGCCTGTTTATATATCCACGACTTCGCTTTGCTTATGATTTCGGGGTCTAAAGTTTTTGGCAGTGGATTTCCAAGACATTTAGCGCGTATTCTTTTAATATATAGCATAAAGGTTGCCACGGCTCTATACAGGCGTCTCCAATCAGAAAAGTATTCCTCTGCAAAATCAAAATGCTTTAGTTGGTTTATAATGAAGACATGCTTACGTAGCTCCGTCGGTTCGCCACTTTTGAGAGTAATGTCTTGTTCTGGCCATTCGTTTTCTGGCTTGGCTAGGAACTGGGGACCTTTTAACCAGCGATTAGCGTTAGGAGATTTGATAAACTTTGTGGCTGAGTCTGCAACATTTTCCTTGGTCGGAATCCAGCGCCATTGAGCTCGACTTGTGTGATCTATTATCTCCCCAACTCTATGCATGACAAAGGCTTGAAATCCATATCCAGCCACTGCAGTACTGTTTTTGAGTCTGACCAGTATGTGCTTGAGTTAATGTTGAGCCTTCTAATATTAATAACTTTTTTGGCTAAGTTCACTCCCATTACTGCTGCCAGGAGTTCCATGCGTGGTATTGAGACTGGCTTTAGCGGGGCAACCTTACATTTAGCTGCTACTAGGACTGTGTCGATATCGGCTCCCTGCTTGATACGAAGATACGCAACTGCTGCGTATGCGTACTCGCTCGCATCTACAAATGTGTGCAAATCAATCTGGTCAGCATTCGGCAGCAGATTTGAGTAGAAGCGAGGAAATTCCAATTTAGCAGCTTGAAGAAGGACAGTTTTCCATTGTCGCCATGATCCGAGTAAAGTGTCGGGTAATTCCTCGTCCCAGTCTATGCCTGCACGCCATACTTTCTGCAGTAGCATTTTAAGACCGATTGTGTAACATGATAGCAGGCCCAAAGGATCGAAAATGGACATCAGAACCTGTAGGGCTTCACGTTTTGTTGGTACAGTTTCTCCGTTTAGTACGTCTCTTTTAAGTCTCGCAAATCTGAAAGTATACTTAAAAACGTCGTTCGAGGGTTCCCAATACATACCGAGAACCTTCTCGGGGTCACCAAGCTCTTTGGGGTGGCGGTAGAGTTGGTGGATCATCTCAGTGATGTCCGCGCACACGCCTATACGGCCCACTCTGAATGCCATTAGGACTTCGGTTAGCGAGTTTAAATAATCCGGTCCATTTAGCATAAAGTCATTGAGGGATTTGCCGTGGCTCTTTGCAGCTGCGTCCCAAACTAGTCTTATTTTATTTGGCTTGTTTGGATTTAGTGCGATAAATATAGGGAGGTACCATACACGGTTTGTGTCCTCAGCTATATCTGCGGGTTGCAGTTCGATCGCGTAGTTTTTTACGACTAAGTTGTCAATCTGATTTTGAATTTGGTCAAATAGTTCTGGATTTTTGTTAATTTTCAGTCTTAGGCATTCGAGGCGTTTCAGTGCGGTTGAGTAGCTCTCTGGGAGAATTAAATTCTTGTCTCGCCAGAGCAAGCCAATTTGATATCTACCGTTAACTTTCTTGCATGTTTCCTCCAGAATTCCTTTAGCCTTTTCGTCGTCTTTGGAGAAGAGCTCTCGCGGTGCGATAGGATCTGCGTTGAAGCTTTCTCTTATTACCTTTTCGATGTCGTTCCAGTTGCAAACGCAGTGATGAAAGGAATAATTCCTGTTGGCGTTGCTTGTGCCTTGAATACTCCATCCGAGAGTACATTTTGAGGCGATGGGCTCGTTGCGTCTTCCCTCACGAATTTTGCGAGGAACAGCCAAGGTCCAGTTGTTAGCGCCAATTAGTAGCATCGGTTCAGCATTATAATATGATTTTATTGGCAATCCGTGTAAATGATTATATCTGCCGACGAGTTTATTTACATCGACAGTTTGTTTTGGTAGCTCGAGGTGCTTGACTGAGTGTACGTTGTTAAGCCACAATTTTCTTCCACTCCCCATCTCCGATATTTGCATTCGGGCCTTGAAAGACGTTTCCTCTGTACGGGTGGTGTTGCTGGTCCACTGCAAACAGAGTGGTTCGGGTGATGTGTAAACTTTGAGGTGTTTTAGAATTCCTTCGTCGATTAATGTCACAGATGAGCCCTCATCCAGGAACGCATACGTGTTGATTCTTACTCCGTTTCCATACAGAGTCACTGGCAAAATTCGAAAGTATTGTTCTTCGAAGTCTGCTTCCTTATGATGAGCACTGACGAGTTCGGGCCTAGGTGCGTCTCTATGGAGAAGAGGGTGGTGCTTCGATTGGCAATTATCAACGCCGCAACCACGTTTGGAGAAGCATTTACGTCGTGCGTCTTCAGGCATCTGTAGCAAGCTTTGGCATCGCTGATTCTACGCTGTCTCTCCGGAACTGTCAATTTTAGAAATTTCTCGCATTGGGCGGCGTAATGTTCGATAGAGTTGCACATGACGCATGCGGGGTTTGGTTTGGCGTCTTGTTGCTGATCGTCTTCGGAGTCACTCATTGCTTGGTGCTTTTCTCCGGAAAATGCTTGTGTATGAGTGTTCACGCTCCATGAGTTTTGTCCAGGCATGACTGTGGAGGCGGCTTCTGCTAGATGATATATCCAGTCGCCAAATGACTCAACAACAGGGATGGAAGGACTGCGCGGATGCAAGGCCCAACTTAATTTATGTTGAGTTGAGAACTTGTCAACAAGTTCACGCAGAAGCATTGGGTTGTCAAGATGTGCGTACAGGTTGCAAGCCTCCATCGTGGCGCACGCGTTGCGGACCGCCATTGCAAAGTCTATAAGGGACTCTAGTCTGTCTTTGTGTACAGTTATTTTACGAATTTTATCGATCAGACGGTCAAGAATCTGCTCCGGTCGCCCAAAGAAGGTTTTTAGAGTGTTGATTACCTCTGGGACCAGTGCCGGCAGTAACAGCTTATCTCGTACCAATTCATAAGCCTTTCCTTTGAGAGACTTCTGGAGACGAAGCATGTTTTCTGCGTCCGAAAATCCGGCTACCGAGCTGCTGTTTTCGTACATGCTTATGAAGATTGGCCAGTCTGCTGGGTTGCCATTGAAAGTCGGCAGGTCCGCTGGTAGAATTTGCCTTGCTGCTAGTTGAGATGCAGTTGGTCCAAATAATTGGATGGGCCTTTCCTGCATCCCCTGCTGCTGTGCCAGTATTGCGTATTTCTGCTCGATATATTTTCTTATAGATTCACGCGTTTCTTCCAGCATCGCCATCATTAAGTTGTTTGAAGTTTGAGTAAATGATGTCTCCGCCGGCTTATTCGAATTGGGTTCCATTGACAATATGGCGGCATCTTTGTTTGGTGCGGCGTTTTCCGATTCGTTTGGCTGTATAGCGGCGCGCGTCGATGTTGAGGAAGAACGGTCGACATGTATGCATAAGTCGCACGTCCATCGTACACGTGCAATAGAGTCGTCTACTCCAGCGCATGCGAAGTGGTACCATTCCTTGCAAGCGTCGCACTGCACCCAATTTTGGACACCATTTGTTAGGCGGCTCTTATTGCAAGATTTGCATAGCGTTATATCTCTTTCCGGAGCCATTTTCAGTAGTCCGTTTTACTGTGTGTACCTGGAGTGATCTATTTCATCGAGTTCCTACACATATGTATTTACCTAGCACTTATACACGTATATGGTGTGTATGCTGGCTTATATGTATGTATGCGGGCGTCTCAAAATGAATTTCACAATTGGTTGGCGTCACTTGTAATTGCGGCTAAGTTTTAGCGTTTATAAAGTTTTTTAAAGAAATGTTGAGAGCACGGATGATGCGCTTATGCATGGCCTTGAAATTGGGCATGGGTCGACTGTGGAATTGACGCGCCTGGCGATCCTCTTCCTCTTGCCGCTGACGCGCCTGCTGTCGATTGCACTCGTACAGGTCCTTGAAGGCGTACGCCCTCGGTACAGGAGCAGCAGCAGCAGCGGCGTCGGCGTCTTCGGCTCTGGCTCCTCCTTCATACCTGGGCCTAATTGGGGTCCACTGCATGCGCAGGTTACTACGGGTTACTCCGATTGCCTCAGCCTCGGGCATGTTAACAATATCATCGTACATCGCCCCCTTGTGATCCTCCTGCTAACGGGACTTGCTGATGCTACTGTTCGTGCGGGCTCCTGGGCGGTCGCCTCCTGGGCATTCTCGTTCATGGCTTCTGTTTGCTCCCCTTTGAACTTTGGGACTGTGACACAATAGGTGGAGTTGAGCTGCTGCTGGTTCTCATTCCTCAAAAAAGGCCTCAGTACGCCTCCTAACCATATATTTCAATGGTATCACTGCTACCTTTAGCTATGTCAAGACTAAATGGTGCTTCAAGTTAAACATAAGAGACTCTTTTGTGTCTTTTTGTCTTATAATATTATTCTCTGTTCCTTGCCACGGGTGGGGGAAACAAGAGATCTTTATTTTTGCAGCCTCAATCTTTTAAGGTGCTGGTTTAAAACTCTGAACCTCTTACCACAGGAGGAAAGTTGCAGAGCGGTCGAAGGTCCAAAATGAATAGCGCCCAAATAAGAACACGTCTTCATTTGCTGAGCTAATATTTCAAACTGATTTTATTTTATTCAAATCCTAGCTTATATAGCTAACATGAGAATGTATTTTGATCTTAGTTTTAGACCCACGCATCGGACAGTTCCCGATCGTGGGAAATATTCTAAGTGCGATAAGGGTGCACACATTCACCCCGATAGCACATATCTTAAACATACCCAGACCGCTCACAGGAGGTCATATTTCGGGTTGCTTGTATTTCCATAGGCCCAAGTGGCGGCTGTCCTTATAGATAGACAAGTGTAGTGCTGCAGGGACTTAATCGCTAACTGATGCTTCTTATCTACGTGTTCATGTGTGAACACTTTATTAAATTTGCTTTCGCATATCTCAGACTCGATATCATTCCTGTCTTCCTCTTCAACCTCCCAATATCGATCCAAATCTTTTAGCTCGATTGTCGTTGCTACAATTGTTTTGCTATTTTGTTTTGTTTTTGATTTTTTACATCCAGAAACAATCCACCCGAAACGAGTTTTTTGCCCAAGGAGCCCGTCTTTTCTTATAACTCCATTCTGTATAATGTGAGTATATAAGTCTGCTTCAATGATTATGTCAATACGACCTGGTTTATCAAATTCGGGGTCAGCTAACTTACATTTCTTCCATAATTCTTTGTCAACTTTAACTACATTGACTGGAAGAGCCTTCATTAGCTTTGGGAGTATAAGAGTATAAGATCGCATAGCGATCTATCGGTTCAGGGATGCCACCCGGTTCCGAAGAGAGGAGCTCCACATTCCGGGGAATAGGTTCTTGACCCGGAATGGTTTGGAAGCTGGAACAGCGGGGGTGTAGGAAAAAAGAGAAGGAGAGAGAGAGGTATATAAAGGAGGTGTTATGGTCACTTAAAATAATCGGGGTAGAGCTAAGCGGTGCCGGCCGATATATCGTGTAACAACGTAAGCAATATCGGACAGGGATGCCACCCCGTTCCGAAGAGAGGGGAATATCTGAGCTCCACCAAGGTTCTTGACCCGGAATGGTTTGAAGCTGGAACGGTTCGTGCTAAAAGAAAGAGGGAGAAAGAGAAGAAGAAGGGCAGAAGGGCGATAGCACATTTAAATCGGTTCAGCGGGAGCGAATAGGCGCAGTGCGTACGGCCGAAAATTTAAAAATTTTCGCGGGTGCGCGGAAAATTTAAAAATTTTCACGGGTGCGCGGAAAATTTAATGTTGTTTAGTAAATAAAACAATTTGTTTTAAATAAAACGAGATTAGTGCAACGCTAAACCTAACTCCAACCACCAACCCAGGGACAAGAAAGGAAGCGAGGACGGGAAGCCGGATCGAGGAAACCGAAAGGTGAGTCGTCGTGGTCCGGAGATGAAGCCCTCACCCAATGGCTCTCGTTTCAAGACTCGACCAGACCCAGTCCTCGCAGGACGAGATTGGCCAGGTCATTAAACGGACCTTGCCCAGTTTTTAAGGATTTGTGAGGATTCTTGAGGATTAGAGTGACTCCAAGAGATAGGCTCGCCCTAACCCCAACGGCGGCGAAACCGACAATTTACTTGGGAGGCATAGATGCCCCTAGAGCGGTCGCCAGTAACTTTCATGTGGCAGGAGTGCCTATAGGGTATTCCTTTATTCGTTGTTTTTCGTCGTGGAAGACCGACACGCTTCAGAATTTTTTTTGTATAGTTTTAGGTCCAGTTTTAGTAGTAGATATTTTTTTTTTGTGTTTTTTCATCAAATATTTTTATATATATATTTATTCGCAACAACTTTTAATTAATATTTTATTCCATTATTCATTGTGAATATAGTATTTAGTCGCGTTTTTATTTGTCAACTTTTATTTATTTATTTATTTTTGTTATTCGTCCATATTTATTTATTTATTTATGTTAATTTATATTCGCGCCAGATTTATTTATTTACTTAATTGGTATGCAAACAGCCAGTGAATAATTTTTGTTGGTAAAATTTTTGTGTGGCATATTTATTTCTCTTGTCTTTTATATATGAATATTTTTCCCCCCGAACCCCCCTTGAGAGCTCTTACGGGTAGGTCGGCATATATTTACAGTGGGAATTTGATTAATTTTAAGAGTGTGTCGTATGAAATAAACAATTAAATATATATACACAAGAAATCAACAGTTAAATTCTAAAAGCAAACCATACTTGGCACCGAGAATACCAAAATTTAAATATTATGATTGTTAACATAAATATATGCTAAAATAGAAAACATGAACATGGAGTAGAATTTAATTTGGGGGGAAAAGGGTGAACCGGGGGAATGAG